CTATAGGGTATAAAACATATCGCTGTGAATAATAGAAGCGAAGATACAGCGGGAAATGACGAAAAAACGAGGATAAATATTCATACTTGTGGGTTTCCATTTTGTACGCTGCGAAAACGGTTCAAGATATCCAAAATATGTATGAAAAATTGATTCCCCTTTGAATGATCTATAAAAAAGTCAGCAAATGAAGGTATTTGCAAAGACGAATTTGGATGCCCAAAATAACCATTCTCGCAGACGAAGTCCCTGACACAGCTAGTAACAAGTATAGAGAGAAAAGTTTTGAATATGGATCATCGAGTTTTTCCGTTAAAAGCGTTTTTTATTTTAATTTTAACTAGTCATGTAAACTACCATACTCCACGTTTAGCATTTTACATATAGTATTATTTATCTTTCTTCGTCATGAATTGTCTTTTTGATTGTTACTACAATATTATCGTGTGATTTCCACTTTACATTTTCTTATGTTTCTTTATTATTTATTCATAATAGGCGGCAATAATATCATCAGCGTATAACTATGACTCAATCTATACTAATATTATAAAGAGTTTGTTTAAACGCGCTAATCACAGCAACGCCTAGTTCGATTAAAAATTTATTTTTGTGTTGTATAGACATTAATAAATTATATAAATAATCTAAAAATGTCCATGATAGTCTTTTAAAATTGACTCGCAAGAACCGTTTGTACTATACAATCAATCAATGAAATTTGATCTAAACTGATGCATTATTACCCATTATATGTTACAGGTGTATCAACATAATAATGTTTGTATCAAGATAGAACACGAATATTGATTACCATTTGTTCATTACCGGAAGTTTATGGGAATTTAACTTTCACAATTTTTTAAAGAACTAGTGATGCAATCATTTTTGCTCCCGTTTTTGTTAGTGCATAGAGGTGAAAGGTCCGGCTTGACAAGTCTTACATTTTTTATTGATCGTTGTCTATGTTATTGCTTTCATCCGTCATTTTAATGTAATGTTTATTACCTATAAGAAATGTGTTTAAACGATTACACAAAATCACTTTTTATGAAAATTAATTGTTAAATAATTAAACGTATTGCTTAGCATTGCTTTCAAAGATCCTGGATTCGAATCTCGGGCTAATAATATATTGTCTAAGTCGGGCTGGGCCCAGAGGACTCATCAAAAAATAACCTGTAAATAATCGGTCAGTGAAACGGACACAGAAATATGTTCGCCCCATGCCCCACGGGGGTAACGGGATTTCGCTATTTACAAGATTTTCTTCACACTTGAAATTCCCTAAGTTTACATGCCAAAATGTTTGCGGAATGAACTTGTACCTTATAAGGTTGTTTTTTTTAGTGTTAATATACGTAACGCGTATCATATCTATTTCCACGATCAGTTGGAATACCGTCACATAATCGGTTGCCACGGACGTTTTGTTTTTGCCTGTTTAGCATTCCACGCGATGCGTGGAACGGTGGTACGATTGTACTGCGACGGAAGAGTTCGGTGGACAATCGATATGACGCAGAGGTATTTCTAAAATAACTTTTTAACTGATACTTAATACATGTTCTTTAGAACACGTTACAAAACAATATGGAAGGGAGTGTATAAGATGCCAGTTCGGGTTCGGCTTTACGTAAAAAAATTACGTTAAATAGAGTCCAGTACCTCTGCCATAGTAAACTTGTATTTGTGGCGGACGAAGGCCTTTTTTTTCAAATGTTTCAGTTCAGGAAGGCAACAGATTGGCAATCCATTATAAGTATACTTCTTCAAGAATTACCTATTCAAAAGTAATGTATTAAAATAAATCGAGTGGGGCAAATGAGAATATGTGTCTTATAGAATTACCAAAAAAATTTTTTATCGGAAATAATCGCTTTATTATAACTATATACAAATCAATGCGATCTCTAAAGCGAAAGATATTAAACCTGACCGTCAGACATTTTCAATGCTGACGTAATGGACAACAGTCAATGAAAACGGATTTGGCGAATTCGATTAAACAGGTTTTTTTTTAATTTATAATTAGTATGTTGTTGTAATTTGGTTCGCGAATTCTTACTAGAATTTAATACTATAGCATTTGGTAAGCAGTATACTTCTATAAGTTTTTTTATACGTGATAAAAGAGACAAGAACGGGGTGGATCAATTGATGGTTGGTAAAATACCCCAGCCACATAACATCTGACCAGAATGCGCTATCGACCTCATTTGGCTTTAAATATTCGTAAATTCGCAGATTAGAAGGGTAACGAAGTTTAACCTAACGGCTTTTTCATGACCCGGATGAAACTTCGACTATTCCTACCATCCATTTAATATCTATACAAAGGAGTTTCAACATGTTTCGGAGAAATTATAAATTCGTTCGAAACATTTTGGAGGGGGGAACCACCTTTTTTTATTATCATTAGCCATACATTGCTACAATTAGAACGACGAACTTTTTTTTCAAAAATAAAAAGTAATTATAGATTTAAATATATTTTTTTAATTTTAAACTTCGGCCCCTTTTGGGTGCTTTTCCCCGGGCCGGGGCCCGGGGGGCCACCCCAAAGCCCGGGCCCAAAATCATTTTCAAATAAGTTTAACTAATATATCGCGTTTTAAACCGTTAAAGTGTTTTATTTAAATGCGTACTACTCGCGTAAACTATAGACAGTATGTAATTTTAGATTTCACACTTATGGTGATACGCACTCCTTATGCGTAAAAGCTTCTTTAAGTTTTTTTTTATCGCGATCTGCCGTAGCGTCGCACGCTGGCTCATTGCATTCTTTGACACGTCGACCGTCCTTGCCACGGAGACAGGTTTTTTAGTGTCGAAGTGAAACCAAGCATGCGTGGCGATTTACTAACTGGTGTCTGTCTAGGTCCATCCTTTAAGTAAAACAATAACAATAATCAATTTTGCTTTTTTTTTTTTTTTTTTTTTTTTTAAAAATTTTTTTTTAAATTTTTTTTTAAAATTTTTTTTTTTTTTTTTTTTTTTTTTTTTTTTTTTTTTGGGCCCCTTTTTTTTTTTTTTTTTTTTTCCCTCCCCCCCCCCCCCCTTTTTTTTTTTTTTTCCACACCCCTTGGGATCCCTTTTTTTTTTTTCAAAAAAAATTTCCCCCCCGGGGGTGGGTTTTTCCCTGGGTGGGGGTGGGGGGGGGAAACCCCCCCCCCCCCCCCCCCCCCCACCCCAAAAAAAAAAATTTAAAAATAAAAAATTAAAAAATAAATTTTTTTTTTTTTTTTTTTTTTTTTTTTTTTTTTTTTTGGTTTTTTGTGTGGGTTTTTTGGGGGTTTTTTTTTTTTTTTTTTTGGGGGTTTTTTTTTTTTTTTTTTTTTTTTTTTTTTTTTTTTTTTTTGGGGGGGGGGTCTTGGTTTTTTTTTTTATTTTTTTTTTTTTTTTTTTTTTATTTATTTTACCGTTACTTTATATTTAAAAAAAAGGCATTACCTGCCTGAGTTGTAACTTATATTTACGCTACGTTGGTCGTTACACAAGAGTGACAACTCGGAACGGTTAGTCGTTCGTGACAATTTGAATGGGGTGCTTCAAAAGACAGGAAGCCAGCCAAGTGCAAGGGCAATAGAGATGCGTGTGCGCATTTCGACAATTTCTTTATACGGATGATAATATGTTAATCAACCGATTAAAGGTGATGCCTATCTATAAAAGTTTTATAGAAGGCTTTGTAATATATTTTAGGATTATTCATATTATTTCTTTTATAGGAATATGTTCCGCGGATAAAGTGGGAGTCTAAAAACTGTATTATGTTGTGTATAGCCTATCATTATTTTTAATCAATCATACCAATTTATTAACTACATAATATGGATATAAATCCTAGTAACTACTATGTTTACCGTGTTCAGACGTCACACGTCAACACCCCTAGGGTCCACCTCGAAATTAATGCTTGTACACTTCTCTTCTCCAGGCTAGGCCGCTTTTGTTGGATTCCTAGTAAATAAAAATCAGGAATAATATTTGTTTTGCATAATTTTACTGCAATTCAAATAATAATTTGAGACTAATAATTAATGACTCGTCGGTGTAATTTTAGCAATGTAAGCATAGTAAAATGGGTCGTGGATTCGATCCCCACCGGGTCCAACATTTTTCTATTCGCGTTCGGTTTCAGTCGGTCGATTTCCAAATATCCAAAGCCATAATGTACCGACAGCAAACATTGTTTAGATGTTATTTGGCTTGGGTATTTCATCAACCGTCGTGAGCCTCCTCCTCAATCATAGGAAAGTATTAAATGTATGATGGAAAATAAAAACTAATTCATTTTTTCTATATAACTGAATATCTTTCTTGTCCTGAAGTTTCATAGACACTATTCGACCTAAAAAAATATTTGTAAACATAGAATAATGGAGGGTCATTGTTACTCTATAGTAAAGTCAAATGACACTTTTTTACAAAAGTCCTCAATCGACAATTTCATAATGACACCGAATTGATTTTTCACCCGAACCAAAGCGATGTTATTGTTTCGCAAAATGTCCATTCAATGAATCGTGATGAAAGCGGCAGCAGTCGAACTGTGAATAACCGGACGGGATCATGTAACGAAGACGTTACGAAAACAAGCATAGAAATTTACTAACCGTAATTCCGGCTTCGGTAATTTTTGTGGCCTAGACCGTATCATTGTTTAAATATCGCTAGGAACAAAAGCTAGTCGCTAAATGTTTCGCCACCTTGGATCATGAAATTAAAAATACCTTATTAGATACATATCTACTATTAGACTATTTAAAGAATTCGATTGACAGCTATCCGTGTTACGGCTCTAACCAATTGAGCTACAGTGTCCTGCTCTTCCTCGTCGAATCTATTTAGCCCAAAATGCACTTCTCGCGTTATTAATACACTTTTATTTATAATTACGACAGGATAGCTCAATTGGTTTAAGGCACTATAATCATTTTTTTTTAATTTGTGTTTAAATTATCTATTAACTAAGTAGGATATGTTTCCCATTTCAGGGTAGGAACGAAAGTAAGATAGTATTCACCAGCACTCAAGATCAACAGTCCCCCAAGCCATTTCCCGATATACGACTTGTTGATGGCCCTTCTATTCTGGCGGGGAGAGTACAACTGTTGCATCGCGGACAATGGCGATCGGTGTGTACCAACTCAAGAAAGTAAGTTTGAAATTATTGTTTTTTTTTTTTATAAAATATAAGAAAGGCATTTCTATTTTCCCAATGTATGTACTGCTTAACTGTACTATTTGTATTTATACATAGTTTATCTTATAAGTCTACTATAATAATGATTACTGCTCGCAATGTAACTTTTTCGGGAACTTTGTTATTGAAATTCATGTTAAATGTTGGAAACTTGTTAACTAACATATAAAATAAATCTTCAACTTGTCAAGTTTAAAATTACAACTATGAAAAACATTGCTTTTGTTACTAAAATATAAGTAACGTTATCATTGTTCTTTTACAGTTGGACCGTTAACGACATGGAAACGGCCTGCCGGCAATTAGGTTTCTTGGGTGGAACGTTTTACAACTGGATGGATCGACAAGCCGGTCGACGTGTGCGCCTCTTATACGAGGAGCCCAAGTGTAAAGGCACGGAGTACGACCTGTTTCAATGTGACTGGCAGTCACGACAACTCGGATCGGGTGTCTGCGATTACCATCCCGACCTGGCTATCCAATGTCTACCTCATCACGATAACAACGAACTCACAAATTATGGTACACACTGGCGAGGAATACGCTTCGAAAATGCCCTGTACGAAAGAATACTCACAGCCGAAAATACACTCTACGTTCCAACTTCAACGTCGAAGCTCTCCCATGTTATTATAAAAAATTCAGGGCTAGGAAGAGATAATAATGCGACCAGCGCGTTGGATATTATAGGAGTTCCCCCGGTCATGGAGGATATAGAAATATCGAACTCTGCTTTCAACGCTGTCAACGTGACATCACCGAACGCGCCTATAATCATAAACAACTGTACGATTCGAAACAATAGAGGGTACGGAGTTTATGTAAATTCAACGTACGGCATGGCGAAGATCGAAAATTGCTTGATCCACGACAACGGCGGCGACGGGGTCAAGTACGTGGTGCACGAATTGAACATAGACGAAAGATTCGATCGCACAGAAGTATTCGATCTATGTACGCTAGCGTCGACGCCCAGCCAAACGTTTCCCATCATGATGTCAATAGAACAATCTAAATATTCGAACATGGAGCGGGATTGTAATCAAAAATTTTACACGAGACCGGACCACGTTTTAACTTTGAGTTTCATAAAACTTTTAACCAACAAAAATGACACTGGACACATATACGTCTACGATGGATTGACTGCGGAAGATAAACTGTTGATGTCGTTTAGTATACGAAATCACACGAGACCGCAAAGTATTAGGTCCACTAGAAGTCGCATGTACGTCAGATTTCATGCAAACACTAGGACTGATATAGTTGGGTTTTTGAGATTAACGTCCGGAATAAGCAAAACCTATGATTTGAATGTTACCGATTCCATAATATCCGACAACAATGGTAGAGGCGTGGTTATAGAAAACTTGCGATCACAGATACACGTGCACCGTACTTCAATTTCTAATAATAATCACGTCTCGGGACTCCAAGTTTTAAACGGGGCTGGTGACATCAACGTTACCGAGAGCAGAATATCCTTCAATCAAGGTGATGGAATAAATATCACAGTTACAGGGGGAAACAGAAACATTTCTAGGAGTATAATAAGTTCTAATCAGCGGTTCGGTATAGCGGTGTGGATAAACAATACGCAAGAGACCGAATACATACCTACTAACCAAACTACGGTTGTTGAATATTCGGAGATATTTAAAAATTTAGACATAGGCATATTACATGGTAATTTCTGCGGTGACAGCTGGGTTAACGTATCCGGTAACTGGTTCAATTCTAGCGTAGAGAGCACAATCGATATATCAACTTGCTGGCTTAGGAACGATCCTATAAAATTACTGAATCTACAAATAGGACACAATCGTTTCTACCAAAATTTTAAAGTGCCCATTAAAATTCAACCGGCTTTAAATGTTATGGGCAGAATAGAATATAATTACTTCGAGCAAGGGGAGTATGGTGCGATCGTTATTTTAAATAGAATAGAAGGAAAGTACTTGGAAGAATTTGAAAAACTCCCAGCCCGTTTCCATATACAGCATAATTACTTTTTTGGAAACCAGGGACCTTTTGTCGTTAATCTCGGGTTATCTCCTTATAGTGACCTTCAATATATTTTGTTTTCGAGAAATTATTTAAGGGAAAATAAAATCAAGGAACAGTTTGAGACATTCGATGGATCTCCGCAATTGACACCGAGGAGTAGAGTAGCGGCTACGATTGTCTTGGCCTCGAGTAACATTGACGTGTTTAGAAATATAATTCACAATCCCGAAGCCCAATATGAAGTCGGATCGCACGTGGAAGATCAAAGCAAAACGCTTAACTGCACATACAATTGGTTGGGTTTTGGCGAAGAAGAAAAGGTCTACAACAGACTATTTCATCGAAAGGATAGATTTAATTTAGCTAAAATTTTATACATGCCATATTTATTACACAGCAGTAATCCTGGTGCTACTCAAATCAATTATAACTCTTTATATGTGCCGCAGTTTAATGTTCCGGGCACAAACGTCGTCGGAGGGGAAGTTGAGGGCATAGAAATATTGCGTCAAGGAGAATACGACGTGGTAAAAGACATAAATATTCGACCAGGTGGCAAGTTGATTTTGCAATCTGGTGTAACCTTAAAGTTTCCACCGGCTATCGGAATGATGGTCGCTGGCAAGTTAGACGCAAGGGGTAAACGACCCAACGATATTACCTTCACACTAAAAGAAGAAGTGGCCATGAGTAATGATACAGTGTACGAAACGGATGCAGATTTGGAACCCACTACACCCGGTTATATAGAACCCGTCGTACCTATTAGGCTTCTCGGAGGGAGAACGCAATACGAGGGGCGCTTGCAAGTTCGTGTAGACGGTAAATGGGGAACCGTTTGTAATTATAAATGGAATATCATTAATGCCGCATTGGTTTGTAATCAGTTGGGCTTAGTATTGAATCCTGAAGATTGGTTCCTGGAGCCAAATGAAATACCGAATGCCGGCCTCACCGAAGATATCATTCTATCTAATGTAGAATGCACAGAGTTCGATAACGATGTAACGAAGTGCAAAGCTGAGACGATAGATAGTTTTGAGAATTCGTGCACTCACGATAACGATGTGGGTATTCGATGTTATGAAACGAGCTGGGCTGGGGTACGATTTAGTGTTATAGCCGAACGTGCCGATCTACAGTACGTCACCATTGAAAAAGCGGGTCTGCTGGATTATTCATCAAATATATTTAAACCTGCCCTCCAAATAGATTTCGCACGTCACAGCTTGGAAAGCGTTCGCATCGTAAACAACTACCACGACGGCTTAGGCATATTATATTCAGACTTATATGGTTCGGATGCAGTAAATACTGTCAGAAACTCGGAGTTCAGTAATAACAAGGGCAGCGGAATAAGCTTTAAGCAATTAGGAATCAAGGTATACAGCTCGATAATTGAAAACAATAAAGTGGCAGGAATCTTCCACAACCCACATTTAACTGGCGCTCAACAAAGAGAACTAGCTGGGTGGTTCAACTTAGATCCCAACTTCAACATGGATGAATCTAGTTACCGTCCTATAAATATCCCCGAGTACCAAACCGATATATCGCTTGCTAACGGTGAAACTAGACACATCGTGTTCAACAAACAATTAAACGAGAATATTGTAAGATTTTATAATATCAAATGTAACCCCGGTTACGTTTTAGGACTGCAGCTTTTAAATCCCATTCATAACTTTTCGTCGGAAAGCATTTGCATCTATGACTCGCAGAACATAAACGAAGGTAGTACAGTGTGGTGTTTAGACCGTGACCTCTCAACATTTCCAACAACTAGTAATAGTTTTGGGGTCGTTCTGAAGTATGAAAGCGGTGTCAACGCATTAGGCGGGGTTATTTTAGTCGTCAGTACGATAGTTGCGCCAGTTCAAAACGTCCGAAACAAGATCATTAGAGGACCTGTTCCTACGCTAACAATTACTAATACAAAGTTAAAGGGCAACACTAAGGGAGTCAAAGCTTTGTATTATAATCGTTACTTAAACGAACTCGGTGATCATTTTCTCAGGAAAGCTAATGAAACGATTAAAATTATTAACTGCGAAATCTCACATAATACTGAAGAAGCCTTTTATGTCAATACACCCTTCTGGGATATTCACGAGAGCAACATAACGGAAATTACCTTAATGATCAATAAAACAACAATTACAGACAACGGAAAAGGAATTTACCATTTTGCGCGAGATTTGAGGAGTTCAAATAATTTGTATCACTACGTCCTACAGGATAACACGATAGAAAGGAACAAATATGGCGGATTCGATGTGGGTCTTCCGTATGTATGGAAATACAATGAAAATTTCACTCATTCGGTATACATGAGTAACAACACTTGGCGCAATAACTACAATTTCGGATTAATTATTGACGGGCATTTCGCAGAAGTTAATTTAACAAAAAACGTCTTCACCGATAACATTTGCTATAACGGTTTAATTTCAATTCGCGGTATGGAGAAGAAGATGAAGGTCGATGGTAATTTTATTGAAAGAAATAACGGCCGATTCATGGTTCAGTTCCATATGGACAGCCAGAGTGAAATAATGGGATTCGTTTACGCCGTCTTTGTTTACAATCAAGTAAAAAACAATAGATACTCTCAAACTCTTCGAGGATTACTAATAAGAAATATAGACCCAACGTACGTTATAGGATTCAAAGGTATTCAGAAAGTCAAAGTGTCTAGAAATCTATTCGGTAACAATGCAGTGGAGTATACCTTAGTAGCTGGTATCAAGACGGCAAAAATAAATAACTTGTTAGACGTAACAGAAAATTGGTGGGGGTTAACAGACGAACAAAAAATAAGAAAACAAATATTTGACTTTGACGATTGGAACAACCACGCTATAGCAACCTACTTGCCGTATTTATTAGAGGACAGTTTCGATTCTAGTGTTTCTGTTACATTTAGTCCTGAAACTGTTGTTGACGTTAACTCACTCGGCGGTCGCCTTACATCTGATCTAGTTCTGGAATCACGTATTGCCCCTTACATCATAAAAGCAGATATAACAGTTATGCCTGATATCACTTTGACCATAAATCCGGGTGTAATATTGGAATTCGCGCCTAATGTGGGAATTCTCGTTATGGGGACATTAAATGCTATTGGACAAAGCCATTTACCAATCGTAATGCGGCCGCTTACATTTCCTGACAGTATAGAAAACAATATACAGAAGAGAGATGTCGGTCAATATTCATTTGTAAAACATAGACAACAAAGACAGTTGGAATCCATGGTCGTTCAAGCCTCGATAAGACTTTGCACGGGTAGAAATTGTTCAATTAACGAAAATAATATAAACAGAAAGAACGAAGGTTTTCTAGAATATTACAACAAAACCACACTGCAATGGGTGCCCATGTGCGACAATCGTTTTACGGAGAGAAATGCCCAAGTCGTGTGTCGAGAATTGGGCTTCGATCCGATTAATGTGTTCTTCGCTCATGACCGTAGAGTTGAATACCACAGCAATTCGTTGTCTAGGATTTGGTCTTGGCCGGAGCCATTACAATGCGTCGGAATCGAGGAACGTTACGAAGACTGTCCGATTCGATTAAATGGACAGCTCTACGGTCACAGGCACGAATGTAAATGGGATTCGGGTTTCATCTTCATACACTGCGGCGCTAGGAACCTCGAAGAAAATCTAGATTACTGGGGAGGGATAAGGTTCGCGAACCCGGAATTCGAGTACTCCCTATACGAGCATAGAATACACGACCATCACACTCACGAGACGATGAAAAAAGCCGAAAGCACTCTCCGCAATGTACATATAATCGGTGCAGGGATATTGCACAATGAGAAGTCACCAGCGATACAGAGTATAATTAAGAATCCTCAAATTCGTAGCGTGAACGTCACCAAGTGCGCTCACCACGGTATCAACATAGTATCACCGACTGACACCATCGACATGATGTTTAATTCCGTCATCGACATCCTCGGCGAAGGTGTGAACGCTATATCTATGACAGGGGAGGGAAGGGAGTCAGACGAATCCAGCTTCACGCCGCTAAAAGATCTCAATTTGCCATACCATTTATTTTCCTTCATTGATATCTGCGATAGTACAAAGGTAATAACGGTGGAAGAGAGAGTTCTTCTGTATTACAAGTACGACAACAATCCAGTGAATTGCGTGAAGATATTCAAAAGCATGTACCGCGTTAAGCCTTTTGGATTCAGACTGTTGCAATTCAATCTATTCAACCACACGCTAAATTATGGTAAAAGAGATTCTTTAACTCTTTACGATGGCGACATCTACAATATCACCGCCCCGCAGATAGGTTATCTCGAGAATGGTTCGGCTGATGAGAAGAAGTTGTTCAGAACAGATGGCGCCAGTTTGAGTGTCAAACTATTTGCCAACGGTGCTTCTTCAGTGCACGGCTTCATTGCAGAGATCGTGACGTTGCCAATCTCGGCTATTGGAATAAGTAAGTCTATAAACACATATTTTAGTAAGGTTAAATTATTTAAATAAAACACTAAAACGGGGACACTCCACGTGACCACGGCTGCTGCAAAGCATCCGAAACGTCGGGCCGAAGTTAAAAATCATTTTCAAATAAGTTTAACTAATACATCGCGTTTTAAACCGTTAAAGGGTTTTATTTAAATGTGTACTACTCGCGTAACCTATAGACAGTAAAGTGTCATAAAATTGCAGTTAGGCTACTATGTCTCTAGAGGCCTCAAATAATGTTCAGTATTAGTACCAGCCATTGACTTAAAAATAGTTAGGTATAATTGTTAAAGCTCATTAAACTATGAAGCCTGATTATCAGTACAACTTTAGTGGCAGTTTAGCAGGAGTGGTTCATTCCGTTAAGTCGCATTGGAGCGGCGTTGTGGGGTTTAGCATTTAGGCCTTTGTCCACCTGTGGGGCAAGAAGGTTAAACGACTTCACTAGATTTATCATCTCCATTTAAATTACCATCTCTGTTTCTAATTTTAGACCGTGATGTCCAGCATAACATATCGAGCAGCGTTTTTACAAGAAACCGCGATGGGGCAATCAATTACCAATCCGTGGGCGAAGTGAACCCTCTCGTCGCGATCATTCGAAACGAATTTAACGACAATTGCCTCAAGCTGTATGGAAACTTTACCACTTGCCAAGCTGCTGTAAGAGTAGATGTACAGAATACGCAAACGCTAGTGTTTAGGGTAAGTATTTTTTTTTATGAAAGAGGTCAGACTAGCAAGTGTATCACTTGATGGAAAATAAATTTCCTGTCAAACCGTATGAAGTCAATTCAAGAAATCCACAGACTGAAACCTGACTGATTATACTTATCGGCTTTTCCATCTGTGGACGATGATCGTGACCCATACGAAATTTAATATATTTACTTTAATACATTACTTCTCATTTAATATCCAGAAGATCATGCAGTCTCACATGTTCCGGAAAAACATTATTATTGAAATATATATAGGTCGTGAGTGGAATGCCAACTCCAAACGTTTGTATTACAAAAGATTATTATCATCTTTCAGAACAACTTGGTGCGCAACAATGTGGGTGGTCTGGTGGTGAGAGCAGATTCCAGAGGATCAGCAACTTCGCTCCGTGGTTGGATTCACAACAATTTATTCTTCGGTAACCACGATCTGCCCTGTCTTCAGCTTGAAGGTATGTTTGAAATATATTAAAAATGACGATAACATGGGAGACCGCCACCCCACAGCATTTTTCTGTTACCGAGTACCTCAATGTTTACCTAAAGCGACAATATGGACTCTGCGATTGTAACGTAGAGGCCCGACCGAGTCACTAAATTTTTTCGACTTCTTTCCATTCAAAACAGATATTTTATTTGTGAAAAGCTACCATAAGTAAAAATAATAATACACTTACTTAAAACTTGATGATCTGAAACTGTGTATGACAAATGAAAGATAAATCATTACGTTTGAATATTTTGATACTTCTATTGATTTTTCTTCGAATACAGGTCGGCAGTCATCGCCGTACCAGGAGGTTACAATATACCGGAACTACTTCACACACAACCGTGCCAGATACAGGGACGTCATAGTTCTTCGCCAAGTAGTGTCGAACTTCACTCATAACTATGTGCACGATAACACCGGCATGAGGATCTTGGAGATATCCGGCTTTGACAAAGTGCGTCTCCCGATCTATCAGACCACGTCGCACAATGGCTTTTACAAGTGAGTTGCAAGTCGACTGAACCTTCTGCTATTGTGTGCATAAAATAAAGTAGGTTTTGTAATAAAAACTTCTTAAACGGTGTTTAGACTTTTTTGTAGTGGGTAATCAATTTAAATACAATTTAAATACAACATACCCAATTACGGCCTACAAAACGTCGGGCCACAGTTAAAAGGGATTAAACGATAAGCTAACTAATAATTTTCGCGATTTAACCGCTTTAAAGCGGTTTATTTAAATTAAAATTAACCACAGTAATGTGTCTGTATCAAGTCAACAGCTGTATCAACAGCTTTAATAATGAAAATAAACTTTAGACTTAAAAAAAGTTACACCAACGGGATTTCTATTCGAGGTCGTTGAATTATCACAATCCTTTTTATGCATAATTTTTTTGCGCAATGCTATTTCAACCTTAACACTTACTTGTTGAAGTTCTTTGTCCTATGCTTCCAGCTAAAAATGTAAAGACACGTTTTTATATATACATAACATAATTTTTCCATTTCCAGAAACTACGCCTTGGATTGGGAATGTCGCGCAACAATAGTCGCCGGGACGGCTGGACAACATTACGTCGACAACATCTTCTTCAACCCAGACAACGACTATGAGATGGTCACAGTCAACCGATCGATGTAAGTCCAGATGTATAATCCTGGGTTGCAAGTGGTTTTAATGTTATTATTTCGAATAGATCATCTACAAAGTGGAAGAAAGAGAATAACAAACAGTCAATATTTATATTCTAATTAAATCGTTTATCTGAGTTTTGTAACAAAGCGATAAAAGTATGAAATAAGACATAGTTTTTATATATTATTTATAATAAAAATTAAATAAACATTCTGAACGGTTTAAAACGTTTTAATGAGAATGTATACATTTAATAGACGTTTCAAACCGTTAATAGTGTTTAAATATGGTGTTTTTAACCAAGTATATTTATGTAATCAAATATTCATTGCATGTTTCTGTTGCATGGCTGGCCGGAGTAGCTTTTTCGATTATAACCCGAATGCTATGAGGTGAGTGGGAAAAGACACTTTGCAATCAAATATGTTTAGTTCATTTGTGCTTATTTGTGGTAGGTCGTAATGTTGAGCTTGAATATTACAGTGCGCTAGACCTTTGGCGTACGCGCATAGATGCGAAACACAATTATTGGAGTTACAACGAGAGTTTAGCGGTGGCTGGCCGAATTCGGGATAAGTCAGACAATCCTCTCCTGCTGGAAGTGGATTACCGCCCATATTACATGAACAATTTGACGGTTCTCGGGGGTGGCAAATGCCCGCCTGGCTGGGATTCAGTAGCAGACACATGCTATATGTATGTTGGGGCTCCGATGACGTACGAAGAGGCCAGGCTTTTTTTGTTTGGTTAGTTTTGTTATTTTTTTTAAAGAGACATTCTTTCTTCAAATAGACCAAAAAAATATTTGTCGTCAGTTAACACCTCGGTGGCACTGAGTATGTGAAACGATTGCTTTTACCCATTTTACAGGTACTTATTTATATTTGTTTTTTTTTTATTAATATTCTTGTAAAAGAAATGTACTTGAGTTGCCATAGGTATATCAAATATTATGTATACCACTTTTTATAACTGGCATAGTTCTAAGAGACACATTTCTAGCTGTGCTCGCGACTTCCTCGTGACATAATCTTATAAGATAGACATGTACTGTCGGAGACATCCAATTAGATCATTTAAGGAGAAATCATTATATTATTTTTACAACCTTTTTCGCAGCGCCCCATTATCTATAGATCTTTGCAATGTTTTTTCGCTCCTATTAGTCACACGGTGTTATAATTATTTTTAATAAAACATTTTCTGTTTAGAATTGCATAAAAAAGGGAATCAAATGTTACTATATGACAAAAATCAATAGTTATGTCACGTTTCCTCCGTGTCCGTACTTACAATGAGGACAACATTGACTTTTTGTTTTGAATTTAACCATTGTTTAAATAACGTGAAATGAGACCAAATAGACGTTATTACTTTATTTTGTATGTATTTTTTGTTTATCAGTCCGACAACGCGTCCATGCCGTACGTGTCAGGCAACTACGCGGTGCTGTACGAGTTCATCCAACGTCAAAACCAGTGGTTCCAGTACGGTGACAGAGTCTGGGTGAACCACATCGACTATGTGACGCAGTGTACTTCATTTGCCTTCTCCGATGTGGAAATAACAGATTGTAACCAGAAGAATGCGTTTATATGTGAAATTGGTAAGATTTGTTTTACAATACTGTAATAAGTTTTGATAAAAACTTGAACCTTAGGAATTTCATTAGTAAATCTCTCCCCTCGCATACTACAATGCGGGTTGACGGACTTTAAACATAGTGGGACCGACTGCTTCACGACCTTAGTCACGGGGATGATAACACCACGCCAAACCTCGGGATGCTTGCTAAAATTTTCTGAAATATTTCACATTAACATCTCGAGTTAGACTCGTCCTATTCAGAATCGAATCCGAGACCTCGTAATATGCAGTTAACCATTAGACACTTAAAATTTCTCAAATAGTCGTTGAAACATCGAAATTCTGTCCGTGTCATCGAATCACAGTCAATGGAAAAAGCCATCAAGTTTGATCGCGTTTCGATTTCAGTCTCTGGATTTCCGAATATCCAAAGCCAAAAAAAAGGTCGACAGCACACTCCTTGTTTTGATGTTATGTGGTATTTCATCTTCTATGAAGTGCTTGAATGTCCATTTTCTTATACTTATCATAAGAAAATACCAAAGAGACATTAAATAATGTAATAGTAATTAACTAAATACTTACATTTATACAAATTAATTTCCCGTATTACATCGATTTTCATCATATTAAGTTCATTGTCCGTCTATCACCGTCTACTCAACTTCCTAGAAGCACTTAATTATATCATATTTTTTCTTTTTCAGATCCCAAAATAACAATTGATCCTCTGTCGTGGCAAGGAGACACCTTGGCAGTAGCATTTATCGGAGTGCTGGTAGCGGCAGTCTTTCTCGTCATCCTAGCACTTATTTGCTGGTACTCAAAGTCTAAACACAGGTAACGTTTGGATAAAATATCAAATGAAGTCATTTTTACAAAAATACAGAGAAAAACAGAAACATAAATAAAAAAATTATGTATGTGGAGGGACACCTCTCACCTTTGATACCATGGAAGTAGGCGCAACTCCGATTTTCAGTGACGTCCCACGCTTAACATTTGAAGTAGAATATTGTTACATTAAAACCTAAACCACAAAAATACTTTTTTTTACGTAGTTTTACTGATACGCGACTGAAGCGGCCTCTGAAATTCCGATGTTAGAAATGTTTAGGAAATACTCATATTTTGTTCCAGACATCTTCAACGGTTAGAAAGACGGAACTCAATTCGGCAGTCTCTCCATTCGGTTAGATCCATCGGCAGCATTAACGGATACCCAGATAATACGTACAGAAGGAAAATGGCGCAAATGGTATACAATTTAAGAACCTTTATTTGCACTTAAAAGATAAACCAAGTCCAAGAAACAAAAAGAGTTAGTCATATCGAGTGGTAACTTTATCCTGATGGTGCTCTAGCCAACAAAAATAAAATAAGGCCATTTATAACGGTTCCAAAGGCGAAATATATTAGTTAACTTAAAAACACTTAAAAATACCATCTACGACGCCAGCAGTGCCCCCGTAACCATGACTGTTGCAAAGTATCTGGAACGTGCCCAACGTAGTTGAAGTTAATTTTAAATAAGTTGGTAAATTTTGATGTTCTTAAAATCCATTTAATATCTATTTCTTCGCAGAGCACGCGATCAACAGACACCTTAACAAAAGCCTCCGATTACAAAAAGATGCTCGCGTCCACTGCCTCCATGGAGTCCATGGAGAAGAGCCAGTTCAACTCTTCGTTGGAGGACACGCAGAGTTTCGACATCTATGAAGCGCATAACCCGAATAACATTATCCAATTGAAACATAGTACGTTCAATAAGAAGACATCCTCGCCAGAGTACAGTGTGCCTCAAAATGTTGCCACTAGGCCGTACAATTTAGCATATAGAAATGAAGGTATGCATTTTTTCAGAAGAAGTTCAACATGTTTTAGAAGACATATAAATTCTTTAGAACCTGTTGGGCCCGTTGGAGAACAAATCGACGACCCGATGGTTATTAGCCGTACATTGCTATCACTAGACCAACGAGTGCGTCAAACAATTTAAATTTCTAGAGAATTTTTAGTGTTTGTAATGATCTTGAAAGACGGTCTCATCACTACTTTTACTCGGCAAGAAGCGATAACAGTAGACGCTTGTGGGGGATTACCAAGTTATATTTGTTTTACACATATATATTTTTCTCAGTTTGATGTTAAATATTCTAGGCTACAGAGACAATTCGGGAGCTACGAGTGGAGCGCCATCTATGAACACGGTCACGACCGAGGAGTTACCAATAATCCACCACCCCGGAGGTCTCTCGGCGGACGACACTATATCACCCAACAGCGAGACTAATCCTTACTTCACGTCTGACACTCTTCCTCTGCGAGGGAAATCTGACGACCCGATCGCGCTCAAACGCGAGTTAGAAAGAGAAGGCAAGATATACGGGTTAGTTTATTTTTTATAGTTATTTAACTGTTTTATTTATTTAAAGTTTAAAGTACGAACCGACATTGACGTCATAAATTATTTATGTTAAAACGCGATATTAGGCGTTCCGTTTTTTAAATAATTTGTGGTGTCAGCGACTTCGTCCGCGTAGAATACTTATTTTGGGTATCATCATATTTTGGGCATTTTTTGGTTCCTTGAACCGTTTCCACGCAACGTAGGTAATGTATATGTTTTATTATTTCAGATACGGCGCACCATCGTATGACCCACAGCCGAAGCTATCATTCCTAATGGAGTTGAGGTCTCGTATGCCCGAAGAAGCTCCATCACCACACTCTACGACAACCTTTAGTAAAAGGAACGAACCAGGTAATTAGTATTATAGCTGCAACTACAACATGCATACATATTATACTTAAGTGTGAAAGTGTGTTTGTCCTTTCTGTGTTATAACAAAGCAACCAATCATTTTACTGTTGAAAAAACATAGCTTACATTTACGAGAGAAAATTTAAATTTCTAAACAGAAAATTTCACAGTTATTTTTAAGTAAAGAAAAATTTTAAATATGAATTAAAACTCGAAATAATTAAGTTAAATTAATTTTAACGATCTGACGTTTTAACATCGTCTTAGTTATATGTTTATTGCCCGGGTAAACTACAGACAATGCTTTGTAAAAACTTTGTATCCGCTAGTTGAGTATAATCTTTGTTTTCTTGTTTAAAACAAGTTGTATTTTATGATCGTATCTTAACTTTAATATTTTTCACATGTACATGCACCTGCACATCTGCACATGATGGCACTCTATAAATTAAAAAGGGCACGGAACGTTGTGGACACCGGTTCCAGCCCTGCCGTGTCGTAACTTGCTTCAATTTATAATCGTAACATCTTAATTATTTTTCCAGAACAACCCAAGTACTACGAGGACAGCCATCCTAGCCCACCGCCACCCATATATTCCAACTATGAACAACAGAGTTATGATTCCAGTCCAGCATCACACGACTTCGACGATTACTCCTCAGAGTTGCACGAACGATCACGATCTGAAGCTATCCTCGAAACGAACTTTGACTTCGACAGTCCCGAAAATTCAGCTTTAAGTGAAGAAAATAGATCGCATAGTCAACCTTTGGAAACTGCTATGTAGACTCAACTAATATGCGAGAACGATGTGCCTCCTTTAGACTATAGTGTATTTTTTCTAAATTGGCATATTTAGTAAACAAACACAATTTACATGAAATCGTGAGTTTCTCATTTTGAGACACTGAATTATATACTAAACTAAAGAACTACTTATACTACACTTAGTAAGAACCACAATCAATTTAATGTAGTGTACTTACCTATGCACGATTGCTGAAATGCGTAACACGACAAACGCCATAACGATGACATTAAAAATTTAAAATAAGTCGTCATAAAAGTGATTGTGAATAAATATTCAATTTCAAAACAACCTCAATGAGGTTATTTAGTCGATATCAACTTCACTCTATAAAAAGTCATGACTCGTTCTCTAGTTGGTTGGCTGATGGTTTAAAATCGGCCATACTTATTGTGGTCCTTTGCCAAGTAAGAAAAAATACACTATGTATTTTATTACGAACAACTACGATATAACTAATTTAAACCGATTTATATTAGGATAAGATCAAACAAAAGACTGATTAAGGTCGCCTTGTATACACTGCATTTCTCTTACAAACTGTCTGTTAGTTATTTTTAACCGACGTCAACAAATTAGGTTTTTATTACACAAACTTAGTCCCTTAGTCTATTCAATAATGAATAGAATATTTTCAATTTCTATAATACCTACTCGAACATTTTATTTAAGGAAGTGTCATATAAAAAAATAGAGCATATTTTAAATACACGCACGATCTCTATAAGTAGAATTATTAACATTTAGGTTTGTGATACGTTTTAGAAATTATATATAAGCCTTGCATTGTATAGATTTATCTAAAAAATACTTTTTCTATTCGAGTGCTATGTAGTATTCAGTGCCTTGTATGTACAATAAATTAACTGGTATAAAATAATTTTAATTACTTTGTGCAATTACTATATAGAGATATATAAATTATATTTTTTATATTTTTTTTATATAGTAGTACTTTACTTTTATCCGTCCTTTAAAATTTTAAGGAGAATGCTGTGAATATTATCCTATGACGATAGAACAGTGTGAAAAAAGTAAGTACGTTGAAATCTTGTTGTGAGCAGTGTGATAGTACTTTTTTATATCAATAAAACATCAAAGTTTACGTTTTATGTACTTATAATATGTAGGTAATGTTGGTACATTTTCAATATCTTCTCATAAGTAATTCCATGTATCATGTATATTTAGAGATTTTATATATACATATTTCTGTTTTTTTTATGTACATATTTATTATTTATTAATTAAGTTATAGATTTACATTATACTAACTATGTATTTGTTTAGTTTTTACAGTTAAAGTTGCTATAATATTTTGTGCAAACTTAAGTAAGTAAGAAATAAAGTTTAACGAAATTATTGTGGTGGTTTGAATTTAATGTCAAGAATTTAATAACTTAGCTTATCATGAAGTTTCCTAGATTGTAATTGCCAATATTTTACAAGTTAAAAGCAAGCCTGAGTCTACAACAACTGCGAAGAAAAATATTTCAAGCTTATTAGATCCTAGAAAAATTTTCGGTTGCTCTAAAATTCAAAGCCGTACAAACTCAATACATATTTTGTATGTTTATGTAACCATCGATAAATAAACGGAAAATTTCTAAGTCTGCATAAGTGTTGTTTTGCTATACATCACATATTGGATTTTATTATATATTTTATTTAAATAACTAGTGATTGAATAAATGTGATTATATTTGTTTAAACTTAGCTTTTTCCGCTTGTAAAGTTGGGTTTTCCTTATTGTATCTAATGGTGCTTTTAATGTTAACAAAAAAACAACAGTTTTAGTAAAAAACACAATAATGATAATAACGAAACAAACCAATTTACCTGGGCCAATAGTCTATGTAATATGTATCTTGTCATTATGTCATTTGTCACAAAGTAGATGTACCGGTTATACTTTGTATTTGGCATTTGCTTCATTCGTTTAAAGTTATTTTTAATTATTAACTAGTGTTATAACTTTATTTCTACGTTGAATAATTCTGTTACTCATTTTAGTTAAACTTAGTTATATAAGACAAAATAAAATAATATTAGAAGGAACATAACCTCTCGGAACATTATACAAGCCCAAGTCTTTGGATTTGTTTATTTATTGGAACCAAATCAGTAACTTTGATAATGTCAGAGTCCGAAAATACCGATAATATTGACCAAGAAGACCAAAACAAACAGGATCAGAATCCTAGGAAGAGGGTTCGCCATCGTAAGAAGAAACTATACGAAAACATAATGAAACAAATGGAGTTTTATTTCAGCGACGCGAATTTGAGTAAAGACCGCTATCTTGGGGACCTAGTTACATCAGATCCCTATGTACCCATAGAAGTGTTTTTGAAGTTTAATAAAATTCGCTCAATGACGCAGCACGTCACTGATATTGTAAAAGCAATGAAGAATTCCACTGTTCTGGAGTTATCTGAGGATAAATTAAAGGTTAGATTACAACCACTCTATTTTCAAGTGAAGTTTTGTTACTTTCTTGCGAATCAATAGCTTAATATGAACTGTTTCATAATTGCAGATAAAAAGGAAAGCTCCTATGGTACCCTACGATGCAGATTTAAGAACAGTATATGTAGAGTCAATTCCAGTTACTGCTAGTCGAGAGTGGTTGGAGAGAGTGTTTTCAGACTATGGACAGGTTGCATACATATCATTGCCTAAGTTTAGGAATTCACAAAAAGTAAAGGTGTGTATTGATTAGAAATATGTACTTATTTCTATATGCGTAGGTCTTTAGAGATAAGGAAACACTATTGCTTTATAGTTATATTTCTAAAGGAGAGATGCACAGACTGTGGCCCACTGGTTGAAACTGGTGGTCTGCTGACCGGAAAAATAATACTCAAATGAATACATTCTTTTTACTTACCTACTTACTTTATTATCTTTAATTACCTATATACCATATACTTCTAGCTGCTAGTAATCTTAAGTTTGAATCATTTTTTAATTTACCAAATTAAAAGTTCACTTTAATTGACATTTAATTTAGATTAATATATTTAAACATATACTAATATGAAATATTTTTCTCATAGGGGTTTGGTTTTATAGAATTTGCTCGGCCACAAGATGCTCAGAAGTGTTTGAATGCTTTTACTAAAATGGGGTGTAAATTACCGATGTGTATGCCACCAGATGAGTTGTCCTCTATTAAAATGTTCTCAGCAGAGGATAACATTGTAGAAGAAATAGATGAAAAAGAAGAAGAGCCTCCAAAGAAAAAAGCAAGAAAACATAAAGACAAGAAGCAGAAAAATTTAGATCTAAAATTAGCTTCTGAATCAGATTGTGAAAAAAGACTGGACACACCCACAGTAAGTCACAATGAATACATTTCTATTTAATCAAACAATACCTAATTAAATATTTTTAAAAACTTCACATTTCTCTTTTAGGAAGAAAAAAGGATGTCTTTGCCGATCACCCCAGATGTTTTAACATCAGACCTTGATACACCTACTGAGGTATGAGAGATAAAAGGATTTTAGTATTTACCTAAATTATAAAAATAAAAAATATACTAAATTTAATATTGTAACCATATAAACTACAAATATTATCGAACTGAATGTCCAAAGCCAATATGTGTTTAAGAGTATCTTGCCTAGATGTTATGTGACTCAGGTATTTCCCCTTCCATGAATCTCATGCTTTTCTGTTGGGGAGCTATAAAAAAAATATAGAATAATTATATTTAATCTTTCAACCTTAAATATCATCAATAAGTCATACTTGAGGTAAATGTATAAATAAAGTAGTAAGCAATAATCTTAAAATAATATTTAATTGCATTATGATTATGGTATAATAAATTACATTATGTTTATAATAAAAATGTCAATCATAGGAAAATAAGAACATAGATAAGGAATCTAAAGATAACCTAACTAGTCAAGATGAAAGTAAAACTGAAGATGGAACACCGAGAAAGAAGAAAACTAAAAAGAAATCTTCAAAAGAGAAAGGCAAGAAACATTTGGACAAAGGGGAGGCGCCTAAGGGTGCACTATGGGGCTTACAAGTCTTATCAAAAACGGAGTGGAAAGTTCTTAGAAATAAATACTTGAACCTTCAAAGAAAACATATGAAAGAACTTAAACAAAGTTTGCAGGAGAAAAGATGGTATTCAGGTATTCCGGCCCCAGCAGCGTCTTCTGTCGAAATTGAAAATGGTTAGTACACTATTAATTTGATTTATTAACTAAACATGAAAAATATTTAAAGGTTTTCAAATTTGTTTCAGTAAATGCTGCTCGAGACCTGGATCGCCCGAAACAACCGCTGGAGAGAACATCTGGTGTCTTTGTTAAAGAAGCATTGTTAGAACCGTGCCTTGATGTCAAACTTACCAAAAGAACTGTAAGTATTTTCTCAACTTTACAACAAGAACACCTCTGAATGTCCGTTTAAATCAATTGGATAATGAAATCATTATTATAAATAGTTATATCTTATTTTTAACCTTTTAGATAAAAAGCAACATCCACGCACTGCATGTAGACGTTAAGGAAGGTCAAACAGAAACTGTTATAAGGTTTGACTCGGCTTCAGCTGCAAATGAGGTATGTAAACAACAGCAAGAACACTTCAAATATGTCAAAATTACTTATTACACAGTATAACTATTGCTGGCTTGTGAAGTAATTCTTTAGATTTGCTATATTAGTATAGATCACAGGTAAGGAGACTAAAAGATTGTCATTAAAACAGTTTCGACTAACTTAATCTTCCAGTACTGCGCAAACTCGAACAGTCGCGCTCGCGTCCTATGCGGTGCTGAGGAAGACGAGCAATGGGCGCGGGCAGAAAGTGCGCGTTCGGGCAAAAGAACGCGAGGCCGCGCAAAACTACTTGCCCGCACGCACGCTCTATCCACGGCACCAGCTTTAGCGCCCGCGTCACCGCAACCCACTCATACGCATATAAGATTTGATGAATAAAACTTTAAAACAAATTTCATTGTTTAAACTACTGAATTAATTTCCTTAACTTCTCTCAGGAATTATAAAAGATTTAATAATGGTGGATTTGGATCGCACCACACTCAGTTGTCATAGTACGATGTAACTTGGATAGTAAAGAAGGGAACAATCCCTATATTATTAATTGCAATGCCATACTAGCGAATAATGACCCATACACGATTATTCATAAAAATAAAATAATGGCAGTTTTTATCACCAACCTCCACAAAGCAGTCCCCATAAACTCCTGCACAACAGAAGTAGCAGCTGAAAAAACGACCTGCTAACAAGTACACACAATAGTGCCTAAATACTATACAAAAAAAACGTAAGTTAATTGTTGACACCTGTGTCGTGTAAGTATCTTATTTTTATTGAAACCATCTCTTAACACTATTTATAGTTTATCAGAAGGAAAACAGACGGGCTTGGGGTTCACTGGATGGATGGTAAAATAACCCATCAACCATCTCAATTTGATGTGCTGTCGTCCTATATCCGCTTTGTACATTTAGAAATCCACGGACTAGACTGGAAACATTACGGCTTATTCATATCCCTACCATCAATTTTATATCAGTATTCCAGGCAAAGTCTAACACGTTTCAGAGAAATTATACAATGATTAAAGAAATATGTTACACCCGGCGGGAATCGAACCCGACTCGTTAATTATCAGCTGTACATTGTAGCGAATCAAATCAACTCGAATATAATATAAAATTTATTTACTGTAGTGTACATACTAGAAGGGGTAACGTTTGTGATATAGAAGTAATTAATTTTGTAGTTAAAAACTTGTTTATACCATTTTCATGTTTTATTTTTAAAAAGGTTACGTGCATTGATAATTCTAGGTATATATTTTCATTCCGTCCTATCTCATTACGAAGTCAGGACGCTTTGCACAGTTTGATAAGAAGTCAATAATGCTATTCACTGTTGTGTTGTGTATTACCCTTATATTTTGCGCAGTTATTTATTTTAGATTTAATTATAAAGCAAGGTTAATTGCTAAAATTCCCGGCCCGACACGTCTGCCACTTCTTGGAAATTGTTTGGAATTCGTGTTACCTGTAGGTAAGTTGAAAATTAAGTCTAGACAACAAGCTCACTAATATATTTATCTATACTATTATATAAAGCTGAACAGTTTGTTCGTTTGTACGGGCTAATCTTAGGAACCACGGGTTCGGATTGAAAAATTCTTTTTGTGTTGGTTAGAGCATTTATCGAGGAAGGCTATAGGCTATAAAATATCGCATGTGACTAATACGTACGAAGATACAGCGAGAAATGTAAAAATTATTCATCCATAATGATGACGTTTCCGAGGCGTACGCTGCAAAAACTACTATTCTATCCGGCCGAAGTTGTTGACACAACTAGTAACTATATATGTATGTAATTTAAAAATCGAAAATAAATTGAACAAATTTCCGACTCGAGCAGGACTTGAACCGGCATCGTCAGCGTTCCGTGCTGTTGCTCTACCAATTGAGCTACCGAGTCTCGAGTTATTTCCGACTTTTAAATTATATAGTGCCTTCATGTGCAATAACATGTGAAAAAATAATATAGTTTTCAAATATATGTATGTATGTATTATGTTTTCAGATGAACTTTTCGTACTATCCAGATCTTTGTATTACAAATATGGCCCAGTTATTGGTATAATTGCTTTTAATTTATCTTTCGTCAATATTTACGACCCTGAGGATTTGGAGGTAACTTATTTGTTTCTAGCAAAATATTAAGTTTAAACATATATTTGACTCAGCCGGGACTTGAACTCACGTCCACAGAAAATGTTAAGCAACAGAACGGAACGCTGTGTTCGTTTTTAAACTATACCAGCCATTATGTACGCTAACACGTACAAATAATGACGATCCTACAATTATTGTGTTGTTAATGATAAAATTTTAATTTAGAATTTCCTTTATTTAATACTGCTATTTTTTATTTAGAATAGAAATACGTTTATTCAGATAACAACATAAATGTACAATAATAAACTAATATTACAAACATACTATAGAATTATAAAAATAATGTTTTACGACTAAATACAGTTAAAATTAAATAGTACAGTTGCCTCTGAAAAGGGAGTCCACTCAGCTAGTACGTTGGGACTAATGTCCCAACACTGATATTCTGTGGCCCCTTCAGAGGCCGAGCTAACACAAGCGATACAGTCTGACATTTGATTATTAGGTATCTTTTATACATATATTTATTAAGAAAGATATATAATAAACAATAGTGTAACAAAATAGGTACTTAAGATTATTTTACTTGAGTTTCTATACTATTTCCAGGTGATATTATCCAATCCTAAATTCAATGATAAACGAGAGCCCTACACATTTTTGAAGCCTTGGTTATGCGAAGGTTTACTTGTTAGCAATGGTAAGCTTTCCACATTATACTTTCATAAATTCGCATATTAAGTATGGATATTTTTACCGAAATCAGAACTGTCGCTACAAAATGTCCTTGGTTCTGCTTCCGCGTCTTTATCTTAAAGGTTACGGGACAAGTTCAAGTATATGAGTACTGTTATAGCTAAATTCTCATAGTTATGCTACAAGAATGTATTATTTTTATCTACATTGTATGTAGATAAAAATAATACATTCTTACATATAAAAACAAAACAAGTCTGTAATTAATCCGTTATTTTACATAAAGTATTTTTATATGCAGAAACACTTTCTTATTGTATGGAAACACGTAGGTTTGAAATGGCACAAGCGAAGAAAAATGTTGACGCAAGCTTTTCACTTCAACATATTGAAGAAGTACGCAAGGACCTTTACGGAACATGCGGAAGCGTTTTTGGGGATGGTGCAGGCTGAAGTTGGTGAAAAGACAGATCTGATGGCGCTTATTACGTCGACAACTCTACAAATCATGTGCGGTAAGTATTTCATATTGCATCATAGTCTTCCGGGCTGCTCGGCCGATGTGAGCGAGAAGAGGTTCTCGACGTTTGGCCATCGCGTGTGGACGGCATCATCAGGTGATGTTAACTCCTCGATTGCTCGAAGAATTATGAGTTGTCTTCTCTTATTATTTTAAGTTTACATATTCACTAAAGCAGAATACCATAGTTTATATAATTATATGTTTTCATAATTAACTAAAAAAAGTTTTAGAAAATCCTTAGACCGTCCGTTAACTTAACTTTTGCTTTTTTTATATAATTGTAATTGTGTAATAATAATCTAAATAAATAACATAATAATTGCAGAAACAACAATGGGTACTTCCATGAATGAGGGAATAGAGGCCGTCACAAATAAGTACTTCAATGCAATCCACGAAATCGGTGAAACCGTAGTCCAGAGACTGTGTAAGGTGTGGATGTTCTTCGACTGGTCGTTCAACTTGTGCAAAGAGGCCAGAGACCAAAAGAGAGTGTTAGACGACCTCCACAAGTTAACCACCAGAATTATACAAGAAAGAAAAACTTATGTTGAAAACAATCCTCTAGAAACGATGTTAGATAGCAGCGAAAAATCTAATAAGAAAGGTCGCTTGGCCATGTTGGATTTGCTGCTACAAAACGAAAAGGATGGAAATATAGACATCGATGGAATTAGAGAAGAGGTGGATACGTTTCTCTTTGAGGTATACTTACGCATATTACGAGAACACAAAGCCGCCAGGAATCCAGAATTATCACATTAAAACTAATGTAATGTGGTTCATTTGAATTAACAAGAAACACCTGAATATAGCTATGACACGTATAGACACTAGAATGAATCACTGATAACTGCCTGGTGCACTACTTTCACAACATCATAGGTGTGGATGGAATTTAATTTTCATTTTGAAAATAGTGTGATTTAATGTGTTAAGTCTGGCTGCTGTACATTTCAATTAATCCCTTAACACACAAAACTCGTTAGTTTACAAAACAGTTAAAAATAAACTATTGTGTATATAAGAAGCAATCTCTTCCAGACAACTCGAAAAGAAAGAAGCGAAATGAGTAACACCGCTGTGCAATTAACCTCTTTGTTCCCATTATTGCATCCTTAAAAGAAACTATAAAATGTTTAATTATTACAAATAAGGAACCTGATCATTTAGTATTATAGGTGTGACGAAGAACGTCCTTTTAATTATACTTTTTATCATTTCAGGGTCATGACACCACAGCGATGGCTATATGTTTCATGATAATGCAAATCGCCAACGATACTGTAGTACAGGTATTTATGACGAACATAATTAAATTTGAATGATAATAAACATATTAAACACCCCAATGGTTAAGTGGTGCCTATCAATGTAGACAATATTGTTACTTCACTTATATGTTTACTATTGGGTTTGTATTCCGGGAAAACATAAAAATGTTTTAGTCGGCCCAAGTCTTCCTTGTAATACTACTTACAAGGAAGACTTGGGCTTGTAAATGAATTTGGTTAGTGAAGCGAACATATAAATGTGCCCGTCTCAAGAACCTTTTTTTAACTTATATCTAAAAAATATCGTTAATAAAATAAAAATTTATATTCTTTCAGGAGAAAATCTACGATGAACTATACAATATTTTTGGTGATTCGAAACGTTCACCGACAGTAGATGACCTGGCGGAGATGAAATACCTAGAATGTTGTATCAAGGAGTCTCTGCGGCTCTATCCTAGTGTACCGATGATAAGCCGATACATTTCAGAGGAAATTCAGTTAGGTAAGCAAAACGATTAGTACAAAGAATATTCTATCTTAGATAACACAAGAGAGGATATATAGGCCAAAGCAATACTATTATTTAAACACTAATATATCTAAAAAAATCAACTTGTAGATGTGCTTCTAGTGGTTTTTTAGTATATTTATAAAGTGTGAGGCTCGGGGTCCTGGTGAGATTCTGCCACTTTTCATTACATGTAAATAAATATTTTATTATTTACATATGGTGTACGTTGTGGTACACACGCAGCCACTATTATAGCTACTACTCATAATAGTGCCTATAATATACATCTAATACAAGGTTTCACGGACATTTTGCAAAACTACTCTTTCTTCTTCTTCAGTTCAAAAACAATGGATGTGTGCATACATTGTTTCTCAATTACGACGGCCACAATAAGTTAATACCTCGAAAACCTTTTTGAAAATAATGCTAATCATTGTATATAACACGCTCTTTCAGTGATTTTAGTATAGAGATGTAAATACTTAGTTATTTTTCATGTTATTACACATAATAAAGTTTTATATAACCAATCGACTTGTAGCCTAATCGGTTAGAGTAGCGGCAGCAGGAACACTGTAATTTTTTTTTTCAATTTTAATAGTATTTTAATTTAGAGATGTAAATGTTTAAGGAAAGGGCTACCGAATACCAAAGGATACAATGTGTAACATACATATCTACGATGTGCACAGACGAAGCGATTTGTTTCCTGAACCTGATAAATTCATTCCTGAACGATTTCTTCCGGAAAACAGCATCAATAGACACCCCTACGCGTATATACCCTTCAGTGCTGGTCCTCGGAATTGCATAGGTAATATTGACATAGATATTCCTATGGCTTGCAGTTCCTATAATTGCATTTGGCGGAGTCCTGTTTCCCATAATTTCCTAATTAAATTGTATATACATACAAGGACTGGCCAATCTAATCTATGACCCCGATCACTTAACACTGTGTTATGTCAGCAAATGAACTACGAAAGACAATCACTAAATTAACCTTTTAGATATTTGGGATATTATCTATTAGCGAAGCGAAGATCACTCCCGTGCCTCTAGTGGCAAAATTAAGCTGTTTAAGAACGACACTCATTTGAATTTAAATTAAAGTTAAAACCCAAAAGAGAAGGAATCATAATTACATTAAAAACCTATAGTAACATACATTTAGCTCAAAAAAATTCTCAAAAAAAACATTACCCATTGACCAATTATTGTCTCGGCCAGCAAAAGCATACAAACATTATTTAACTAATACTTTGCATTTTAACAGTCAAGTGTTCTATTTATACTCTCCGGACGATCTAATTGCAGGTCAAAAATTTGCCATGTTGGAAATGAAGACTTTGGTATCGAGCCTCATTAGACGATTCCACGTGGACGCAATCACAAAGCCCTCGGAAATTCGCTACAAATGTGACCTGGTTTTACGAGCAACCCATCCTATATTTGTGCGCTTCAGAAACAGACAGTGATCAAAGGCGAGCAGCGACGGTATTATTCTAATCTGTTCACACTTTTACGTAATTATAAATTAGATACGACATACAATGCACTGTGTCTCTTCTTCCATCACCGACGACCGATGAACTCTCTGAGGAAGAATCTAGGTTTTCACGTTTACAAAAACCTGTGTCTAATAAAAAACGAAAATAAAATAAAAAGATTTATTACACAGTGTAAATGCAACATCAAATTCAGTCTTACAATACGTACAATTAGCTTATAGTACAGGAGGCACTAACACGATTTAAATTACAAATCTCATACAACTTAATTTACGTTTAATAAAATTCATTATTGTTTTATTGCCACTTTGTTATAAATAAAAATAATGCTATATAATACGTAAGTAATTATGGCTGTTAATAAAAATGGCTGCACGGTTGCACCTATTTTATTTTCCCATATTAACATTATAACATTGTATCTTCAATTTATTGAGTACAATTTAAATAAAGCAATAGTTTTGTTTAAGTATAATAGTTACTGTATGGATGGCATAGACTTAAAATTACTTACTAGTCTAGCCTAACTATTACAAAGTACACATAGGTATATTAGTGTTTAAGTACATAATTACAAGTTTATCAAAAATAGATGGTTATAAAAACATACAAGTTTTTTAGTTTTCTAAATTAGTCCTTAATAGCTAAAACAGTGAATCTGGTTAGTTTTACATATCTGACGTATATTGGTATATTTAGACGCTCTCTGCAGTTAAAAAATCTCCTGTCCACTCTATGTCTCTATACTTATTCATTGTTACCTTTTTAACAATTTATACATTTCAAAAATTGTCAACTTCTTACGAACAGTAATGTTATAATTAATATTTAAAAGTTATACACGCCATACAATATAAATTATAAAGGAATATACTATGGAAGTCTTTGTAGTTAGGAAATTAATCTATTGTGATATTAAATGCGTCTAAAATTATGTCATTCTTTACAGCACCAAAACTATAGGAAAACAAAGTTATTGCTACACAACTTAAACACGGATGTCTACTGTTACTATCACAATTAAAATAAGCCGTACGCGAAAATATAACACCTATATGTACAAAAACGAGGTAGATTTTCTCTAAGACGCCTCCATATGTCTGTGGACGGTGACCGGGGCGATAACGCTATTTTTTCCACACGGTAAAACTGTTACGGATAGGTCAGTTGGCACGAGTCTTGGCTTAACTTTAGCTGGAGGAGGGAAACTGACGTCAGACTTCGTGTCGTCGGACAAAACCGTCGGGTCGTTAACGGAAAAGCCGGTGGCTTCAGAATCCTCGTGAGGAGTCATAGTAGAATAGCCTTGGTCCGAGCCGCCGGCGGTGTGCGGACGTCTATACCCCGTTATCACCCGATACGGCGATATGGGAGCCTCGATCTCCATCGGCGCCAACAACTTGTCTTGACCGGAGAGATCCGGCATATCGTCCGAATGGAGATGGCTCATTTGCACATCGGCGTCGTGCCATGTTTCCGCTGGACCGTCGACGTATAAGTTATGACAGCTGGCGCTGGAGGTGTTTTGTCTATAGCAATAAATGGCCACGGCTATTATTAAGCTCACCGTCACTATGAAACCGGCCACGGGCCCGATGGTGGAGTAACTCGCGAACGCGTCCCTATTTATATGACCAAAAGTGCCCTCACCGTACGGGGTAACGGCACCCAAAACACCATTGAAACACGTCGATAGCGAAGTACAGAATGGCGTTATTAGTGGGGACTTGCCGTCGGCGTCAATTTGGCACCACTCGCAGCCCATTACGCCCAAACAAGTCGAGTGCGTGAGATAAGCTTCGCATTGGAAGTCGAAGCAGGACTTAAGATTTTCAGCAACGTTGTGAAAATAATGCGACTTGTGGTTGTTGCTCTCGGGATTCATACCGCACAGCGGTATATTCTGGTTGAAGTTGGACGCGTTCGAGCTGGGGCATTCGTACATTTCCGAGCTGCATTCGCAGGGGCATTCGCATTCGGTTTGCTCCATTCGATTGCAGTTCAAGCATAAACGATCTACCATACTGCATGGACAAAAAGCACCGACATTACACGACGCATTAACTAAGCCTATAAATGCATTAGTCCCAGGTATAGCAGCTATATAATAATGAACACAATGATCACCGGACACCAAATTGGATAATACACTTGGTAGAGAAGTGTTGAAGTCATAATAGCGTTGAATTGTTTTATCATAGAAGTTATTGCACAACCTCTTCGTAACAAATCCCTTGTGATTCAACATATCAATGGCTATCATTGATTCTTTATGTGTGATATGTTGCTGTTCGATTGGACCTGAACTATTTGGGTCCATTAAACCAGGGTGAGATACCAAGTAGCCTCTATTATTCATTATAAAACATTTGTTGTACGCCATGCCACATAGATCGGAACTATCCATAAGTAGTTTATACAGAAAACCCATAGTTAGATCCATAGCTACAACCATGGTGGGATAAAGGGGACTTATAACGGAATAAGAAAGTGTAACAACATACCCTGCTCCACCAACATCTAAATTTGGAGAAGTCAAAATAATTTTTCCAGGATTTTCAACAGCACTTGTATACCAAGGTCTTCTAACGGGTTCATAGTCGTACTCGAGCACTGTTCCCGGAAACATTACGAGTACACCGCTTTCTGTAACTGCATATCTTCGAACAATATATTTTGCAAGGTGACCGTGTAAGTGTTGTCTTTTGTAAAATGACAACAATGAATTTAGAAATCCAACATCATGTTGTATTTCGTTTTTTAATCCGGGATTTGACAACAGACCGTGAGCAACGCTTCTAAGATAAGCTAAGTAATTTTGCATGTACGTTATAGCCTCCTCACCGTCATTCATATCATAAAGATAAGTAAATGGCGATTGGAAACTAGAGGGACTTAAGTACACAGTACCCTGATCAATCGTAGCTATTTGTTTAAAATGCCTGCAAACTTTACCATTTTTAGGAGGAAATAAGTCTAATCTATGAAATAGAATCTCTTTGTTTGTTCTAGAAAACAACATGTTAGACTTATTGAATAAATTGACAACAGACTCTTCAGATACCACACAGGCAATATACATATCTCTCACCCACTGCCAAGAATAAGTCAATTCAGCAGTAGAGTTTGCTGGACTTACTGTTATATTACCAGAACTTCTTAGTAGCATTTCTTGCACAATAGCTTTGATAGATGCATGTGACTCAATGCTTTCTAAACAAGTAAATTTTATTTTTTCTGAAATAGCCTCTGGTCTAGGAAAATAGGTGTGCATTAGTACTGTACCAGAAAAATCTATCACAAATGCTCTTCTTTGTTTATTAGAACCCTTGAAATAGATAATATCTTCAGCTAAATCTGACCAGTATAGATCTAACCCCAGTATCCCATTGACAGTTGGATGCACCATAGAAACAACAAAATCTCTTTCTGTCGCTTCCCATACAGGTGTTTCAAGTCTTAGATTATTTGTATAGTTACTCGGTAATAATGATAGAAAAGCTGAAGCTACTTGCCCAATGACTCCACTGCTGTTGATATGCATTTTTAAAACGGAATGATCACTTGAATGATTATGCCATTTGTCAAAGTGTAAAATTCCTAATGAACAGTTTTTGCCAATATAATTTTCATACAATAAACCAATAGCAAACTTGACATTATTTTTGGAATGTGGAAAATCTTTGAGCCATATATCGTTTTCAACAACTTTAGTATCTGTCAGAAAAATTACTAATTTGTTTTCTGGTAAATGTGATTCATTGAATAAACTTTTTAACTCCATTCCTATGGCTTGTGGAGGAAGGCTCGTTGAAGAAAAATCTATTGTAGAAAGATATTCACGAAACAATAACTTGTTGTTTTCAGTTGCATTTCCAATGTTAGCTACTCCGTCACTGCTGCACATATCTTCAAATTTTATAAAACTTGTCATATTTGTTACCTTTAGTGCAATCTTATCAGTAGATTGTAGAGCATAAACAGTTTCCTTAGCTATACTTATTGCATGCTGAAGAGACTCTATCCTCATGTTGTTGTCAATAATAAATATTACTAATTTTGAGTCTCGGTGAACCACTTTGTGGTATAGATATCTTAAGCTTGAATGTGGCATATTTGTACAATCTTTATCTGTGGCATAATCCATATGGGCAAGAAAGTATTGTCTTTTTATCTTCAAATCTTTGAATCGGTCGAGCATTTTCGTTCTGGTGTCTTCCGAAGCATAGTTTGTTTTAATAAATACTGACTTCCGAATAGAATTAAATGGGCAAGGGTGAGTAAAAGACGAAGTTTTGTTTAGATTGATGGTGTCTTTCATTTCTAAAAGCAAATTTTTTGCTGAAGACAGTTTATAACTGAGTTTATCAACTATACTTGAGAGAATGTCACTGTCTGTACTGTAACAACCCATTTTATAAGCTGTGCGCAGTTCTAAATGCGAAGTATACTCACTTCCTAACTCTTTTATAACAAATTCGGAAAACTTGCTGCCCAAGGTTTGAGACAGTTGACGTATGCTGCTTTTATAATCACATCTGCTGCTATTTTTCATACAATCATCGACTTGAGCGAGCGCTATCGGTGAAGCAGCAAATATTACAATAATCCGCAGCAAGATCATGTTGATTATCTTGAAAACACGCTTGACAGAGGTCTATTTATACTTCTGGATTCTTGTAGTCCGAAATTAATAACCATAGCGCCATATCAATCACATGTATAACACCGCACGTACTATTTAACACTTACTAGGTTTTCAAGACATTTTAAATTATGAAATATTACAAAAAATCGTTTAAAGTTTTATTGCTATTCAGATAGCTTGCGATGTAAATAAAAAGCTGTATTTGCTGTCAACAATATGTCAATTGTATTTGTCATTTGTCAACTATCGGTCTGTGTCTGACTGACAGTAGACACTACACAATACTTATTATTTTCGGCCCATCCTTGACACAGATTAGACAAACTCTTTTAAAATAAAAAAATGCTCAGACAAATAATACCTTAGCTTTGGATAAAAAGAAAGAAACATTTATTTTTTTACAAATAAATATGTACTGTTAAATTAAAAATAACAAAGTAAATAATCAGTTTTGGGGGAAGTTGAATGATTGGAATGATCGCAGCGCGCGCTTTTGAGTATTTTGAATATCATTTTAATTTAAGGGAAATCCCAACTCTTCTCCGAGAGTGATGGACAATCGTATCTCAATGTCGTATATTGAATTGGTTGTTATCAGTATATGTTATGTGTATCAGCTGATGTAAAGATTTTACAGATTTCAAAACATCACAATCCCATCAGTCACTTTAAACTACCCAAGTACTCGTTACAGATAAAAAAACATCGGTGCACATCTAAAAATTTTATGTTTGTCTGATGTAATGAGCGTAATATTTCTCGAAGTCTTCTCACTTATCTCATAGCGTAATTGAATGTAACAAAATCGTATTTCTGATAACTATATGACTTTAAACTGAAACAATAAAATCATATTTAATCTTATCCTCGCGACATCTCGTAATGATCAAAGCATGAATGTAAATAAGTATTTTAAATAAGATGGAATTATTATTTATTCAGTCTCTATTAGGACGCCTTGCTAAACACGCGAAATGTAGTTTACGTTGAAGAAATAAATAATATGATTTAATATACATAGTGGTAAATTTCATTCGAAGTTACTTATTCATTCTGCGATATGGATAATTGTAAAAGTCAAAGTGTAGTTGCGGACATTTTAGAGAAGTTTGGAAAATATCAAATTTTACAATACTTTTTTGCATGTCTGCCTATCATTTTCGTTTCTATGAACAATGTTAATTATGTCTTTATTGCTGGTGATATTGGATATAGGTAAGGATTATTGCAATATTTTTAAAATGATTAAAGACTAATAAGTTTCGGTAATTTTTTTTTTTATAAATAACCGATTCTTATTTAAACGTGTTTAGTATTTTGGAAATCAAAGTGTTGTCGAATTAATGAATATAAAAATTAGTATTAAAAAGTTTTGACACATTTTTTAAAATAAATATGTTGTTTTTTACACACTTTCGACTTAAGGTATAATAATTTTAATTAATTATTGTTGATAAAAGATAATAATGGTAGTAAAATTATATTTTAGTTCTTGAACCATTTTCTACTTGTTAGTTATTTTATAAATACTTATATACACTTAATCATCATGTTGCAAGAAGAATTTGATTCACTACAACTTATTGGTAATTTTTGGAGAAGCATTTTATATTGAAAAATCCTTGAGTAGGAATTTATACAACAGCGTACTGTGCTGTCGCTCTACCTCCTCTCTCAAATAAACTTTTCGAAACTTGAGCCAGAGGGAGCAGACTGAAAAACAGCGCTGTCCTTCCTTCCTTCGTGCAGCGTGTAGCTGAGTCTGAATCCCGGGGCGCCTTAAATTTTAATTTATAAATTAAGCTTTAAGTCTTCTGTTTGAATTTTCTAACTTTGTGACAAGACACAAATTTATCTTTCTTCTTCTTTCTTAAATATTGTCTGTAGTTTACGCGAGTAGTAGACATTTAAATAAATACTTTAACGGTTTAAAACGCGAAAATGACTTAAACTTATTTGAAAATTATTCGTCACTACGGCCCGCCGTTTCGGATGGTTTCCAGCAGGTTTCCGGCAGTCACGGGGTAAAAATAATGATAAGTTTTAAAATTAAGATAAGTTTAACTAATATATTATATCGCGTTTTAAACTGTTACAGTATTTTATTTAAATTCTTTCTTTCTTTATATAAGGGCTGTAAAGGAAAATGTTAGTTGCCTGTGTTTACCGCTTTTCCTCTCTATTGCAGGTGTTACATTCCAGAATGTGAAACTTCGTCGCCACAGTACCAGGAGCCCTGGTGGCCTACCACCGTCCCTAACAAATGTTTAAAACCAATACTGAATAGTAGTTTGGTGCAGGGAGACGTGTGCACTAATAAAAGCTTTACTGGGGAATTCGAAGAGTGTACTCGTTGGGTGTATGAAAGCAACAATACTGTTGTTGGGGAGGTAAGCTTATCCGCCACTATGATCTTCAGCCTCGTTTCTCTCATGGATTGTGGGGCTGAGGCATTTCGCAGAAGTACTCTTTCGGCTTTAAGTAATTTCTAGACCTTGCTAGTATCTAACGAATGCTAAATTTAATTTGGAAACAAAAGTATACACTTTCAAGTGACTGCACACTTGAAAGTGTATACTCTTTAATTTTTCCTTTTAATTTCCGTTCTTTTGTCATAGATATTTGTATGTATGTTCTATAAAATATTTCTAATACGACAATAAAAAGACGTATTTCTCGAATTCGACTGTACTGTACTGTAGGCTGTAGGCAGTCTGTGGATACAATATTAATGTACCTATATACAAAACTAGCCGTGTCAGCGACTTCGTCCGCGTAGAATAGTTATTTTGCTCATCAAAATATGTTTTTGCAAACCGCTTGTGCAACTATATAATTTAAGTAGTTAACCACGACTTCAGCCGCGTCTCGTCGTTCTTACAAGTTAACCTTAAAAGATAGATATACGTTGTAGATAATTTGAACCGTTTTTGCAGCGTACGTAACGAAAACCCACATAGATTTATAATTTCTCCCGTTTTTTTTTTTCCTTTTCAAAAAATAGAATTTTTCAATTTGAACCAGTAGTTCCTGAGATAAGAGCGTTCAAACAAACAAACTCATCAGCTTTATATATTAGTAAATACTTCATTTATGCCTTACTAACTCCTTACATAAATTTTAATAATTAGCGATCGGACACGCCCTTTCCTTAACGCAATCACGCCACGGTTTCATTTCCTTTCTTCGAAATATGGTTTGTGACTTGTAATTTGGTCGATCTCATTCAAATGGCAGCAATGTAATTACGGGCCGTCGGTTCGATGCTCACCGAATTCATCGCGTTTCTAAAATAAATTGAAATTCTTCTGAAATATGTAAAACTCTGTCTGGAAAATTAGGATATTGAATAGGTGGTAGGGATTTTAAAATTCCGTCCGTGTCACGCCGACGTCCATAGATAGAAAATCCGTAGAGTATATTTCAGTCTATGGGTTTCTTACTGCTGAAAGTCAAAATATGTCGACAGCAAATCTTGTTCATGTGCTATGAGGTCGGAGTATTTCACCTTCTATAAAGTGTCTTTCTGTGTCATAAGAAAAATAATCTCTTTTTAGCTGGACATGGCGTGTGAGCCGTGGAGAACGAATTTTATTGGAATGATGCGAAACATAGGAATGGCCGTATCGATGCTTATTAGTGGGTGGCTCTGCGATTGGTAAGTGGTAATTCAGCTAAATCCATACTTTTAACGGTTTAAAACTCGAAATGTATTAAGTAAATTTATTTTTCCTCCGACCTGACGTAAAGTTCCCTGTTTTGAACCGTTAAAAGAGATTGTACATGTTGTTCTATTCGCGTGAACTACCTACAATTAACCTGTGTCTTTAACATTGCAAATATTGCTATACTGGTATTTTTGTTGGGCATATTATTGATTTATCTTATGGCTTTGTGTAATTAAGTCAAGAAGGTAGATAAATCAAAACGATTTCTCTAGCTGCAGTTTTTAGAGTTCCGGGCTTTAAACGGGCCCCTAAAATTTGTTGTTTTACATCTTTCCGTCACCAAGAATCGCGATAGTTCAAAAATTATGTAAGTAGTTATGTTGCCGATTTAACAACAAATCCATAAAAACATGTCTTTAATTTGAACTCGAATACAACAAACACAATCTTTATCTCTTTCCCTCGATTTAACAATGACAAATATGTAGTTAAAAATGATACACATACCCACTGACTAAAATTCAGGAAATATTAATTATTGATATATTATTGACATTTAGGAATAATTAAGAATAGGTTATATTTTGCTTACGTTGTTACATATATTCTTATTTATTGATATTTTTACGACATTTGTAGGATCCGTTAATTTTTATTGCTCTATTGTTGTATATTGGAAATTTTTAAACGTCTGTTGACTGAGACAATACTAGTAGTATTTTAAACGATTTTACTGGTTCTCTAATAAATTAAAGCCAGGGAAGACCGCTGATGACGTAATAAGGAACAACCGTATATTTATCATGACGCATAAAGGTACATACATTTTGGTATCACGTTTAGGGCGCCTACCTTTAAATAGCCTTCACACAGACCCGTGCATTGCATTAGCCCAAATTATTCTAAAACTCGTTATGTAGAGACTAGGTTTAATTTTTCGTGTCTAAAGTCTATCCTTGTAAAATCTTTCCAATATTACAACTTCTAAGTTAAATCAGAACTTAGATGGATAGAGACCTGACTTTATTGTACTGCCTGGCATTGAAATGCAAGCGGTCGTTGCTTCGAAACCTGGGAAAACAATATATGTTATTTAATATTTATTATGTCATCTGACAGACGGACATACAGCACTACAGAAAACTCTTCAGCGTATGCATTTAGAATTTATTGCTGTCTTACGAGAAACTAATATTTCTTTTTCTCTACTTAAAACAGTTATAGGTTTTTGAGGTGTTTGATGGTCGTAATTCATATATAATGCTTATGCCATTTCTCAATTACGACGATTAATAACGAACAAGAGGGGATTTCCCCCTTCTTGTTCGTGCTATGCGGGTTATCATCAAGCTGCAGGAGGGGATCGACATTTTCACGTGCAGCTTGGGTGAATTGACAAAAACATGAATATAAATGAAAAATATATGAAACATGTATATATAACAATTCTATCGCAATACTTATTATAATTATAATTTACTTGGCTTTTGATCCATACTTAAACATACTTTTATTCTTATATGTTGATACAAGACGAATAAATATATGTGTAAAAAGACAAGAAATAAAATGGTAAATCCAATGTTATCACTCCTATCTCTCGAACTCGTGAAAGAGCCTCTATTTATTTGCGTTTATTAGGTACACAAGACGGGCTTAACGTCTTAGTTAATTTACCCAGTTTTACACAGTTTGTCGAAGGTGTTTTCCTTGTTATGGAATATTTACTGTTATTATCTGTCTTAGTAATATAATTCAACAATTTTCAACATTTGCAAAAAAATATATTTTTTACATGGTATTTAGTACAAATTTTTTGTTTCAATCTAAATACATTTTTATTTAATTTTTAAGTAAACCCCTCCCCCCCACTTAAATGTCTTTTAGATTTTAACGTTATTATTTAATTCATACTAAAAATTCAGCTCAATTACAAATTTTTTATGGTATCGCGGGTCTTGAGCTGGTGAAAGGGTTCCTTTTTGCCTAAAAAATAAATAATCAAGATCTTTGCTTTTACTACCGTGCCAGCAACTTCGTCCGCGTAGAATAGTTATTTTAGTAATCCAAATTTGTTTTTGCAAATCTCCTCATCTTTATAAATCATAGCTCTTATCCACGTCGTAAATAAATAATTTTCCCCGTGGGTCACTGCTTGATGTTTTATAGCCTAAAACCTTCCTGGAGATTAGCGTCTTTAAACAAACAAACTCTTTAGTTTTATAATATTAGTATAGATTATGAATTGGCCATCCGATTAGTTTTTCTTTTTATTTACTTTTGTGTTGTAACCAAATGCAATTGTGATAAAATTAATTTGTTATCCATAGATGAGGCCATTTTTAATTCACTTTTATTATTTAGGGCTTATTAAAACACTTACCAGTTTAAATAATAATTATAATATCTTATTTTCCAAAGGAAATTTGCTATAGATATATAGTTGATTATTGCATATTAAACCTTGTACATATATGTTTAGTAATTATATTTATTGTATTTACTTTAAGATCTGCGATTTATCTTCATGGTTAATTATTATTATAATTTTTATATTTTCATACAATAACAATTATTCCTGGATCAAGTAGACAATCTTACTAGGTAAATAGAGTTATCGTTATTGTGTGTGAGGCATTGCACTACTAAGGCAGACGTAAATACCCATATTAAGTAACTAGCTGCGCCAGCGACTTCGTCCGCGAGAATCGTTATTTTGGGCATCTAAATTCGTTTTTGCAAACCCCTCCTTCTTTATAAACTTAGGATGTAACCCACGACGTCGGTCGCGTTCCTTTACGGCTTTCTTGCAGGTTAATCTTAAAAGATAGACATAGAGCGTCGCAGACTTTTGTTTAGATCATTTAAAGAGAAAGCATTCTCTCATAGGTATTTTATTGAGAATCTTGAACCGTTTTTGCAGCGTACGCCTCGAACCCCATAATGATGGATAATTTTGCCATTTTTTTTTCACACTTCCCGCTGTACCTTCGAGTGTATTAATCACAGGGCGATGTTTTATAGCCTATAGCCTTCCCCGATAAATGTTCTAAATAATACAAAAAAGTTTTTAATTCGACCTCGTAGTTCTTGAGGTTAGCGCGTTCAAATAAACAAACTCTTTAGCTTTATATATTAGTAAGTATAGATATAGTTTCCACGTTATTTGTAAAATTTCGGTCAAAATTATTTCAATATATATTTTATAAATTTAGACAAAAGTTGGTTGTATGGAGTAAGTTCTTAAATTTTTACTGTTAATGGTTTAAAATCTTATAAACTTATTATTAACTACGACCCGACGATTTAGGTGCTTTGCAGCAGCCTACAGCTATTATTTAAATGAAACAAAATTAAACTATTATTATTAGACTTAATATCTCAATTATGATAATTCTGCTATGAAAAGTAAGTAATATAGTCAGTTTGTCTACATTGAAGTGCAAGATATTTAGTTATAGAGGTTAAAATAGTATTGCTTTCTTTCATTTCTAACGAGAATGAACTAATCGTTCTCTCTTTCTAGGATCGGGCGAAAGCCGACGCTTATACTCTGTTCTTTGGGCGTTTTTATGGGAAATTTCAAGACTTTAGCAAAATCATACGACTTGTATATATCCTTGGAGTTTATAGAGTCGGCTATGTCAGGGGGAGCATATACATCAGCTACTGTCTTGAGTAAGATTCCTAATCCTCGATCAATATTGATAACTGCTGTAAATAGTTTGCTAATCCTCAAAACGTATTTCAGTGATTGAAATCGGTGGGAAGAAGACAAGATTTTTAGCTGGCGTTTTATTCGCATACGCCATTTACATGGGCGAAGCTATATTCGCTTGCATAGCAATGCTGGTGCCATATTGGAAACACTTGTTATACATCATGTGCTCTCCATCCATACTATTCTTGTCCTACATCCTTATAATTAAGGAGAGTCCGCGGTGGCAAATCCTAAACAGAAAAAGCGAAAAGGCGAAGAAGACTCTTAGACAAATAGCTAATATGAACAAACTCAACATTAACTTAGATTATTTAGACAATATAAACGACGATATTTTAAAACAGACGTGCAACGAATCTCAAAGCAAGAGAGAGGGATACGGAGAAATTTTCAAATCGAAGGAGATAATGAAGCGAGCGATGGTGGCATCCTTCTGTAGATTTACAGTCAGCTTCATTTACTACGGACTTATTGTGAACTCCGTGTATTTACCCGGGAACAAATACACCAATTTCCTTCTAGCTGCTGTTATGTCGTTCCCCGGGGAATTAATTTCCATGTACTTCATGAACAAAGTGGGACGGAAACTGCCGCTGTGCTTCGGTTATCTTATATGTGCAGCCGCGAATATAGCTACCGGATATACCCCCGAAGGTAATTCCATGCTTAACATCGTTGAGATGTACCACCTAAAAATAAAGAGTACTCAACTGGAGTAATCAATCTTTTCTCCTTGCGATCTTGTTACTATCTCAAGCCTATTATAATATACAGTATAATTTATACAGCTTTGTGTACAGAAGGTTTAATTTTTACTACTTTTCCTATTATTACTATTCTCTGCACAACAACCACTTTATATGACACATTGTGTACGAGTAACACGATTCACGATGACATAGATCTTTCACGTTACAATTCATTCCTTGTTTCAGACTACACTGTTGTTAAAATAACATTATTCTTGATTGGGAAATTGGTCGTAGCTGCGTGTTACACTGGCATAGCTACGTACACAATGGAACTGTTTCCCACTAGCGTAAGAGGTTCTCTACTCGGTTTTTCTACTCTCGCTTCGTGTGCTGGTACCACCTTAGCACCTTTGTCATCGATCTTGGTAAGACCTTTACGCCAAACTTAAATTAAATATAGGTTTATCTTTATTAATTCAATTAAATCTATAATATTCTGATTTGATTTAAATAGTATAAGAACCGTCAGACAATTGATTAACGCACAAGAATGCAGCGCATTGAAATTACTGCTCGGCCAATTGAGGTCCAATAAAGGTTATCGGAATAAATTGAGCAGCAGCGATCGACGATTGCATTTCTTTGCAAAATTAATAATCATTTAAAATCCCCTTCCTTGATAAATCTCTCTAACAAACAACTAAAATATTTTTTTTTTACTCCAACTAGTAGTTCTTGAGATTAACGCGTTCGGCCAACCGAACTCTTCAGCCTAGTATATTAGTATAGATAAAATCCACAGTGATCCATGCTACGTGGATCTAACTGGTCTTCACCGAATTTTCTTGATCTTTCGCGAAATGTCTATGTTTTATGATAACCGGTATAAACAACCTTTCTAGACAACAATATCACCAATCCTGACGTCCCTCTGTTTCGGATGCACTGCAGTTTTATCCAGCCTGCTCCTCATATTAACACCAGAAACGAAGGACCTTCCACTTATGGATACGATAGCTGAAGTCCACGACTACGCCATAACAGCCAAGAAGAAGAAAGTGGAACAAAAAGAAAAATTGTGCGGCAGACAATAACGCTTTTGATGCAGAAAGTTCAACGCATTTATAATTTAATTACTATTAGATTAAAGGCAATTGTATGCTAAAATTAAACAAATACTACGAAAAAAATATACATAATTATGTTAATTAAAAAAAACCCACACACATAACAGCTAAATCCTAAAAAAATATTATTAACAATACGAGATATTAACCTAAGTACCGTCTAATATGTTTTACGAAGGAGAATATAAACTTATGAGACAGAACTTGAATAATAAGACAGTAATAAATATTTATTTATGTTAAAATGAAATCTTAGTTCTGTGTTGTACTTAAACTTAGTTGTGCGCATTTTTATAAAATAAACGGTTTAAATGTGAAATGTATAACTGCAATAATATTATTTACAATTTATTTTAACTGCGAACCGACGTTTCGGGTGCTCTGGCGTGACCACGGTAAGTTTTATGTTTTACGTATTAAACCGTTAAAGTGTGTTATTTAAATTTGTACTACGTGCGTAAACTTGTTTTATACAACATTAAAGTGAGTATTTTATTGTTACCTACATAGTGCTAATAGGCAATGTATTGAAAGTAGTTTTACCTATTATGAATAATAAATTACGCACTAGGAACAACATATTTTCTGAACTTGCAAATTATATGCTGTACGTATTTGAATTGCTAGTTAATAATTAATTTAAGACAATCATATAAATTAAAATTAAAACAATGCAAGAGCCGTTTCAATTTTCTGCAAAATCGATTCAATGATTAGCCGTAATTATTTGTGTTTGTAATTTATGCAAGCTGTAATTCAATCATTAAACGCCATTCAATTCACAATCTACTTTAACAACTTATTATACAACCGTCTTGCTTTTACTTCAAAGACTGCACAAAACTGTACCGCGCAATATTTATTACGAGAGGCTTACTTAAGTATTTATATCTATATCTATCTATACTAATATATAAAGCTGTAGAGTTTGTTTGTTTGAACGCGCTAATCTCAGGAACTACGAAAATTTTTCATCTCTGTGGGTTCCTTGTAGCGTACGCTGCAAAAACGATTCAAAGTAACTAAAAATGTGTATAAAAGAATTATTCCTCTTTCAATAATCTAAAAAAACGACGATCTCTATACTTTAAGATTAACTTGCAAGAACGACGGGAAACGACGCGATCGACGTCGTGGCGAACAGCTTAAGTTTAAGAAAAGATGACAGGGTTTGCAAAACCTAAATTGGATGCCAAAAATAACGATTCTCGCGGACATAGTCGCTGGCACAGCTAGTGAACTTAATACACATAATACTAGGTTATCCGTAGTATCAACTAAGTAACGAATTGGAAAAGCAAAATTCCTATTATACCGTACTGTTTATCGGTTTTATTTTCTTGCTTTCTTCAAATAGAATTACTATTGTGGAACTAGAAGAATATTTGAGGGTAGTTAAGTTTTTTCGAAATTCTACGGCCGAACGAAGGCAGCGCGCGCTGTCTGTCGGTTTTAGATGCATACGTGCGCGCTGGTTGTGCACAATTTTGTTATTTTTTCATGTAAATTGAGAATATTAAGTAAGTTGTAACGCCTGTAGGTACTACTATTAATTGTAACAATGGCTTCCGCGAGTTTAGTGCGTTTATAATGTAATTATTTTATTGTTTAAGTGTAAATCAGTATAGTACATGGTAACGTAAGTTTATACCCGATCCGATCTACTTACAACTACAGCATACAGTGACTCGCAACAATAATAGTGTACATGACTCAGGAGCTAATTTCTGGACCGGAGCTAAAGGTATATGGGTTTTTACAGTATTACCCTTAATTAACATCATATCGGAAATGGGTTTCGACATTTTTGCCGTTTCCTGTCTTTGTGATACAACTGTTATTAATATTAAGATGATATCAGACGAAGAAGGCAAAATCGCATTGTTTGTGGCTTCCCTTATGTTTATTTTCATGCAGACAGCGATGTCTTAGCTACAGTATCTATCTACGCAATTACTTACGGATACCTTACGAATAATGGATCAAAATTCGCTAGATTTATATGAAGTTAGAATAGTCTACGCTTGAGAAAAGATGGTTATTGTATCATCTTCTAAAACGACGTTTCTGTTTTACATAATTTTGAAAACTTTAATATACATTTATAAATTTATAATCTATAAAAATGTACGATATGGGCGGACGTGAACCAGCATCCACAATGGTCTATGCTGATTTTCCATGCTTAGTTTCATATTACTAGCTGTGTCAGCGACCTCATCCGCGTAGAAAAGTTATTTTAGGCATCCAAATTTCTTTTTGCAAACCTCTACATTTTTATAAATTTAAGATGCCCACGACATCGGTCGCATCCCGTCGTTCGGGTCCCATCGTTCTTGCAAGTTAATCTAAAGAGATAGACATATAGTGTAACGGAATTTTTTTTAGATGTTCACATTTCCCTCCTTCGCTCCTATTAGTCACAGGGCGATGTTTTATAGCCTTCCTCGATAAATGCTCTAACCAACACAAACATATTTAATTGGAACCCGTAGTTCTTGAGATTAGCGCGTTCAAACAAACAAACTCTGCAGCTTTATATGTTAGTATAGATAGATATTACTCTCAGTACAGTATGCCTTTACAAATATTAATGATAAGATTGTTAAAATACTTTTTGCTATGATGTTTTTAAACGGCGCAGAAAAGCACACAAAACCATATATGTCGTTTAATCTCATCAATAAAAGTGGATATACTCTGCTAAGAATAAGTAGATTTAGAAGATGTTAACACATAAAAATATTATAAGTTTTAAAACAGCTTAGAGTTCTTTAAAGTATTAAATGATATATTAAGCACTATTACAACAGACGTTTCTAAAGCTATTATCGTTAAGAATAACAGAAAGTAATTTACAAGTATCTAGAAATGTCCCTTTCTCAGATTTAATTCGGTTCCTGTAATAATTGAACTAGTTAGTCGTAAGTAATTATAAATCAATAGTTGTCCATCGCGATCATCCATTACATTATGATAATTGGAAGGAAAAAGTAAGGTCATCTTGCCATAAAGCTATAGAATCGAACATTTGAAATAAAAGAAAAATCAAGAATAACCGGATGCATTTCATGTTAATATTAAGTACCAGTTTTCTTACACTAGTTGTTGCCGCGACTTCGTCCACGTAGAATAGTTACATTGGGCATCAAAATTTGTTTTTGCAAACCTCCTCATCTCCTTGTCTTCCGCGTCC